CCATCGGCTTTCAGGTAGAGGTGATCCGATGCCTCTAAAGCCTCCCAATCACTTTTACAGGGATGAGAGATGGGTCAAGTGCCGACAACGAGCTCAAATAAATCGTTCTCAGGACGTGGCTTAGAGACCTAGAATGAATGTCTTTGTACGGCCACACTGGCCATCTGGAAATTTTTCGTAGCACTGTGTACGACTTCTACAACTACATTTTTGATGCTCTACAGTGATCCGATGCCTCTAAAGCCACCCAATCACTTTTAAAGGGCTTGGAGGAGGGCTGCTCTCCTGCTGCCTTCCCTGGGCTCTCCTATTCCACTGAAAGTCAATGTCATGGATATGGGGGTACCAGCTGTCCTCCTGTAGGGGTTCCAGGAAGCTGAGTGAATCAAATATGGGCAGAGACGGTAATCGGCACACAGGGGGGCAATTACTGGAACCGATCCCCTGTATGGCTTTCTCAGCACCTGAAAGCTGGCTTCTCCTCTCCCTTCTGCAGGCTTTTAAACATACAGGGGATTGGTTCCAGTAGTTGCATCCATCACCCTCCCCCACCCACCATACAGTTGCCCCCATTGCCCAGGCCCCCGTGTGCCCCCCACTCCCCGCAGTGCTGCCGGATTCCCTCCTCACCAGCAGCTGCAAGCACACAACAGGATCCTTTAGGATGGAGAGAGTGGAAAGGTTCCAGTAAATATTTGACATTTACCAGCCCCCCCCCCCCCCCCACTTCCTTTCCTGAATGAACACAATGTGTGATCGATACCAATCACTCACTGTGTCCATTCATAACTGAAGCAGAGTAAACTGTGTTTTTTTTATTTTATTTGTGGGGGGAGGTCCTTGTTAGGTTGGCTGTATGGGGCCCCGTGGTTTCTAACAGCAGCCCTGTTGAAAGTGGTCGGGTCAGTTGTCCACAGAGGGAGGGGACGAACATCCATTCCTCCCTCTCCTCTTTGACGACTGAAGCCGGTTTTGGTTTCACCTGGCCAGGGAAGCAGGAGATAAAACTCAGTTTGATCGGCTGCTGAGGAGAGGTCAGAGGTCTAATTAGACCCCTGATCTCTCAATAAAAAGTACCGGTCCCAAACTATCACGAGGGATGGTATTCAACCCTTGTGATAGGAATAAAGTTGAATAAAAGTAAAAAAAAAAAATTTTTTTATATATCTATGTATGTGTGTGTACAAAAAAAAATTAAAAATAAAATATATTTAAAAAGATTTAAAGTGACCCTGTCCTGTGCTCATGCAAACGTGTAAGAAGGTCCCGAATGCGAAAGTAAACTGATTGCATCACACCTATGCAGTATCGCTGCGAATGTCAGGAGTGAGAGCCGTAATTCGACCACTGGATCCTGTGTTGGCTTTAAACTGATGACCTGTAAAAACTTTTAAGGCATCACCCAAGGCTTCTTTTTTTCAGCGGGAACGTGGCGGAACGCAGTTACGGCACGTCTAGCACTGGTAGGGATGCTGGAGGGTCTATTGATGCTGGCTGCTGGGGGGATCATTTGTTACTGGAGGTCTGTTGTTGCTGGTGGGGGATCTATTTTTGCTGGAGGCATCTTAAGTTGCTATGGGGTCAATAGTTGCTGGGAGGGATCTACTTTTGAGGGAGTGCTCTATTAATGCTGGCTGCTGGGAGATCTAGTGATGCTGGCTACTGTGGGATCATTTGTTACTGGAGAGGTCTGTTGTTGCTGGTGGGGGATCTATTTTTGCTGGAGGGATCTTCTGTTGTTAGGGGGTCAATACTTGCTGGGAGAGATCTACTTTTGAGGGAGCGGTCTATTGTAGCTGGATGCTGAAGTGTCTATTGATGCTGGCTGCTGGGAGATCTAGTGATGCTGGCTGCTGGGAGATTTATTGTAACTGGGGGATCGTTTGTTACTGGTGGGGGGATCTATTTTTGCTGGAAGGATCTTATGTTGTTAGGGGTTCAATACTTGCTGGGAGGGAGCCACTGTTGAGGGAGCGGTCTATTGTAGCTGGCTGCTGAAGGGTCTATTGATGCTGACTTCTGGGAGATCTAGTGATGCTGGCTACTGGGGGATCGTTTGATACTGGAGAGGTCTTGTTGCTGGCGGGGGATCTATTTTTGCTGGAGGGATCTTATGTTGTTAGGGGGTCAATACTTGCTGGGAGAGATCTACTTTTGAGGGAGCGGTCTATTGTATCTTGCTGCTGAAGGGTCTGTTAATGCTGGCTACTGGGGGATTGTTTGTTACTGGGGAGGTTTGCTGTTGCTGGTGGGGGGGTCTATTTTTGCTGGAGGGATCTTATGTTGTTAGGGGATCAACACTTTCTGGGAGAGATCTACTTTTGAGCGAGCGGTCTATTGTAGCTGGATGCTGAAGGGCTCTATTGTTGGAGATATCTATTGATGCTGGGGGTCTATCATTGCTGAGGGGGTCAATTGTTGCTTGAGGTAGGGTAGGGGGTGGAAACAAGGGGTTACTCGGAAGGGGGGGGGGGTACCTGAGAAAAAACAGCCCTGGCGTCACCTATGGCGATTTGCAGCTACTGTAGTTTGTCGCCATTTAACGGGCATGCAACATTTTACATCCTGGTATGTTTGGTATCTTTTTGCTCAGTGGAAAATGTATCTTTCTTTCACAATGTTTTTATCAAGAAGATAAAAGAACAACTTGAGTAACATACAAATTGTACAAAAAAATGGTCCAAAGCAGCATGGAGAGTGGCAGAGCTATACTTCAGTAGGTAGTGGGCCACGAGGGGTATAAAAGGTAGCCAATACGGGATTCATCCCATCCACTGGCTGACTGATAGCCAAATGGAGAACCTCACTGCATGGAGATCGTTCCTGATAGGGCCAAAGAGGGAGGCGTACGAATAAATCGGGTAACTAAAAAAAAAAAAAAAAAAAAAAATGAGAAATACAGAAAGAAAGCGGGCAAGACCAGGGGACAGGAGGAGGGGGTTGCGGGGTAGCCATCCCCGGGGGATCGGTCGGTTAGTCAATGAGAATCGTGCACCGCTATCTTTTACTAAAACATTGAGTATTACTTTTGTTTGTGAGTACTAAAATGTATTTAAGTGTTTTTTTTTTTCCTGAAGAGTTTGATACACAGTTGCTCAAATATCATGTGAAATAAAAAAATTGCAACAACCAGCATTTTATTTTCAGGGCCTCTGCTTTCAGAAAATATAGTATCTTGCACAAAGTATTGGCCCCGCCCTCCAAATCATATGATTCAGGTGCTCCAATCCCCTCCCAATCATGTGATTCAGGTGTTTCAATCCCCCTCCCAATCATGTGATTCAGGTGCTCCAATCCCCTCCATATCATGTGATTCGGGTGTTCCAATCTCCTCCCAATCATGTGTATGGGTGTTCCAATCCCCTCCATATCATGTGATTCGGGTGTTCCAATCTCCTCCCAATCATGTGTATGGGTGTTCCAATCCCCTCCATATCATGTGATTCGGGTGTTCCAATCTCCTCCCAATCATGTGATTTGGGTGTTCCCATCCCCTTCATATCATGTGATTCGGGTGTTCAATCCCCTCCCAATCATGTGATTCGGGTGTTCCAATCTCCTCCGTGGACACAGGTGTATACAATCAAGCCCCTAGGCATGCAGTCTGCTTCTACCAACATTGGTGAAAGAATGGGTCGCTCTCAGGAGCTCAGTCACTCCAAGCGTGGTCCCGTGATAGGTGGCCACCTGTGCAATAAGTCCATCCGTGACATTTCCTGGCTACTAAATATTCCACGCTCAACTGTTAGTGGGATTATAACAAAGTGGAAGCAACTGGGAACAACAGCAACTCAGCCACCAAGTGGTAGGCCACGTCACATGACAGAGCGGGGTCAGCGCATGCTGAAGCGCACAGTGCACAGAAGTCGCCAACTGTCTGCAGAGTCAATAGCTAAAGACCTCCAAACTTGGTGTGGCTTTCAGATGAGCCCAACAACAGTGTGTAGAGAGCTTCATGGAATGGGTTTCTATGGCCGAGCAGCTGCATCCAAGCTTTCCATCACCAAGTGCAATGCAAAGCGTCGGATGCCGTGGTGTAAAGCACGCCGCCACTGGACTCTAGAGCAGTGGAAACGTGTTCTTTGGAGGGACCAATCACACTTCTCTGTCTAGCAATCCAATGGACGTGTCTGGGTTTGGTGGTTGCCAGGAGAATGGTACATTCCTGACTGCATTGTGCCAACTGCAGACAGTTGGTGACTTCTGCGCACTGTGCGCTTCAGCATGTGCTGACCCCGCTCTGTCATGTGATGTTGTCTACCGCTTGGTGGCTGAGGTTCCCAGTTGCTTCCACTTTGTTATAATCCCACTAACAGTTGAGTGTGGAATATTTAGTAGCCAGGAAATGTCACGGATAGACTTATTGCACAGGTGGCCACCTATCACGGGACCACACTTGGAGTCACTGAGCTCCTGAGAGCGACCCATTCTTTCACTAATGTTTGTAGAAACAGTCTGCATGCCTAGGGGCTTGATTGTATACACCTGTGGCCATGGAGGGGATTGGAACACCTGAATCACATGATTTGGAGGTGAGGACAATACCTTGTGCAATATAGTGTATAACACACTCCTGACCCCTGCACTCTGTACACTGAGCTGTATATGATAAGCATGTCACATTTGTCCAATGATTTTTTTTTTTTTAAATAGACCTCTACGTATCTGTGAAATCTCCCACCACAAAATGTACTCAGCCAATGACAGGTCAGGATGCCATTTTTATTCTTCCCCTGCTATCAATGGCTAACCCAGTCCCACCCTTTATCCACGTCTTTGGTGACCTCTGACCTCCTTATGAACTGTTTCTTCCATGATGATCAGCCATGGAGTATATCTGAGGTGTATATCAGGGTGTGCTTCTTCCCCACATGAGAGCTGGGATGTCCAGCAACATTCATCCAGAAGATATTTCCCGCACTCAAGGTACTAATACATCTCCAGGGTTGTGTGGGACCCGGATGTACAGGAAGACAGGACTTCAGTGAGGAACATTTCCCTCACTCAGGACAGTAGCGTGGCTTCTCCCCCGTGTGAGATCTCTGATGTCTGCAAAGACTGGACTTCTGTGAAAAACATTTCCTGCACTCAGGACAGGAATACGGTTTCTCCCCTGTGTGCGATCTTTGATGTCTGTAAAGAGTGGACTTCAGTGAAAAACATTTTCCGCACTCAGAACAGGAATATGGTTTCTCACCCTTGTGCAATCTCTGATGTGTGGAAAGAGAGGACTTTTCTGAAAAACATTTCCCACACTCAACACAGGAAAATGGTTTATCCCCCGTGTGAGACCTCTGATGTCTGTAAAGATTGGACTTCTCTGAAAAACATTTCCCGCACTCAGTACAGGAATACGGCTTTTCCCCCGTGTGGGACCTTTGATGTGAGACCATCTCTGATTTTTGTACAAAATGTTTACCGCACTCAGTACAGGAATACAGCTTCTCACCTGTGTGCAATCTCTGATGATTGTTAAGATGTGACTTTTCTGAAAAACATTTTCCACACTCCGGGCAGGAATATGGCTTTTCACCTGTGTGCGATCTCTGATGTCTGTTAAGACATGACTTATCTGAAAAACATTTCCCACACTCAGGGCAGGAAAACGGCTTCTCCCCCCGTGTGCGATCTTTCATGCTTATTAAGATGGGATTTACAATGGAAACTCTTCCCGCACTCAGCACAGGTAAACACCTTCCATGTTAGAAAGATGGCAGCGTCCCGCACAGTCTGAGGTTCCTCAGGATACGAGGAATCCGATGGTCCATCTACACTGGGTGGTGCCGGATGGACATTGGAGGGAGCCAGGTTTTCTCCTGGACTATACTGTGTAATGTCCTCATCTTCTGCTTTCCAGTCTGGAGACAAAGTGAGACAATCCTCGGAGGTTTTCCTCATCTCCCGGCCATGGACTAAAATACAAAGACAAAGAGGATTACTAGACAGGAGCTGATTGGTTCCCCCAAACCAAGACTCCGCCCACATCAGGAAGCTTGGTCTCTGAGGAGCTTACAATTCCACCTTCAAGGGAACTAGGAAATGGGTCAGTGACCAATCAGTGAGCAGTATGGGTGGAGGAATGGATTTAGTGTTCATAACTCACCTGTGCTGATCTCTGTAGGAGTGTCCTCCTCTATAAATGTCCCCGTTATTCCATCCTCCTCCATAGACTGCTGATCATCCCTCACATACGCCTCTTCTTCTTCTGCTTTACCGTCAACTTTTATATCTGTTAGATCTTCACTCTAAACCAAGAGAAGGAGAGAAAATATCATCTGTAAAATATTAGCTCACAAAATAATCCACACATCATCCTTATGAGTCTATGTTCAAAATGTTCCATTCCACCAACCTTGTGATGGTGGTGGATGGTGTGACCTCCCTGTGTGGAATCCCAGGAATACAGAGGACGGGGACATCTCTCTGGTGGGTTCCCATGACTGGATTCATCTACCTGATGATGGTGAGGGATTGTGGGACCTTCCTGTGTGGAATCCCGGGAATACAGAGGACAGGGACATCTCTCTGGTTGGTTCCCATGACTGGATCCATCTGTAGGAAACACACACACTGACTGAATCCATTGTTTCTATGTGTTTATCAGATGATGGGGGATCTAGGTGGACCCTCCGTACTGCTCTCTCCTTTCCAATAAAGTCTCCTCTTACCCGGTGATGTAAGGGGCGGCTGATTGTCCATCATGACGTCCTTGTAGAGGTCCTTGTGTCCTTCTAAATACTCCCACTCCTCCATGGAGAAATAGACAGTGACACCCTGACACCTTATAGGAACCTGACACACACAATGATACAGTCACCATCCAGACACATCCCTTGTCTGTTACTGGAGAATGTCCCAGAATTCCCGGCACCGCTCACCTCTCCTGTCAGCAGCTCCATCATCTTCTTGGTGACTTCTAGAATCTTCTGCATGTTGTATCTCTCAGGGTTTAGGGAGTCACATGGAGGCACTGTGATGGTCATATGATCACCTGACTTCAGAGGAGGAAATCTCTGTGTTGGGGAACCAATAGGAACATCATGTTAGACTCCCAGAATCCTCCTCACCTCTCCGGTCAGTTCTGTATTTTATTAATAGAGATGAGAGTGATGTCATGTGACCTCCCAGAATCCTCCTCACCTCTCCGGTCAGGTCTGTGTTTTATTAATAGAGATGAGAGTGATGTCATGTGACCTCCCAGAATCCTCCTCACCTCTCCGGTCAGCAGGTAGATGATCTCCAGGGTGAGGTTTAGTATCCTCTCAGTCATGTGACTCTGGTCCTCCTCCATCCTCATTGATGTCGTCATGTGATCTATGCCGGTTTCTCTGTAGATGGATGAATGGGTTAGGATTAACCCTATCATGTAAGAACAGTCCCAAGTGGGGTTACATACAGAGACATTCAGTTTAGTGTTTCTATGATTTTGGGGTCCAGGAGACTCTGATCACAAAGTCTTTTTTCTATATAAAATATATTTTTTAAAATTCATTTTTGATCTGGTGACAAAGAAAGCTGAATGAGGTTCTTTATGTGTCTAAATAAAAGGCCCATCCCCACTCCTAAAAAAAAAAGTGGTATAATCCATCAGTATAGACTGAGGAGGTGAGAAGCTGATTGGTGGGAAAGGTGACATCTCCACAATGAGGAGAATGTTCCGGCCCCGGAAGTGGGGGAATGTTCTGCCCCTGAAGGTTAATCTGGGTTCCCACACTATATATGTGTGTATCATCATCTGCTGGCGATAAAAGATGTCACAGTGACTATGGAAGAAGAGGATGGACATGACGATGGAGGAAGAGGACGGACGTGACGGTGGAGGGAGAGGACGGACGTGACGGTGGAGGGAGAGGACAGACGGGCATGACTGTGGAGGAAGAGGATGGAAAGGATGATGGAGGAAGAGGAGAGGACAATGGAGGAAGAGGATGGACAGGACAATGGAGAAAAAGGACGGACGTGACAATGTATGAAAATGATGGACAGAACAATGGAGGAAAAGCACGGACATGACGATGGAGGAAGAGCATGGACATGACAGTGGAGGAAGAGGACGGATGTGACACTAGAGGAAGAGCACAGACATGATGGTGGAGGAAGAGGACGGACGTGAACGTGGAGTAAGAGGTCAGAACTGACGGTGGAGGAGGACGACGGACGTGACGATGGAGGAAGATGACGGACGTGACGATGGAGGAAGACGACGGACGTGACGATGGAGGAAGACGACGGACGTGACGATGGAGGAAGACGACGGACGTGACGATGGAGGAAGACGACGGACGTGACGATGGAGGAAGACGACGGGCACGACTGTGGAGGAAGACGACGGGCACGACTGTGGAGGAAGAGGACAGGACGATGGAGGAAGAGGATGGACAGGACGATGGAGGAAGAGGATGGACAGGACGATGGAGGAAGAGGATGGACAGGACGATGGAGGAAGAAGATGGACAGGACGATGGAGGAAAAGGATGGACGTGACAATGGATGAAGATGACGGACAGAACAATGGAGGAAAAGGACGGACATGACGATGGAGGAAGAGCATGGAAATGACAGTGGAGGAAAAGGACGGACATGACGCTGGAGGAAGAGCACAGACGTGACAATGGAGGAAGAGGACGGATGCGACGATGGAGGAAGACGACGGACATGGGGGGGGGGGGGGGGGGTTACTGGGTGTAAATATAAAATCAGATCTTATTACCTCCTCTGCTGCCACTTCCAGTAATGTCTCCTCTCTACTTACTCCCAGACTTGCCTCCCATCTGGAACCTCCTATTTATACCTGACATCACTTCCTGCCTTCCATAGAGACTTCCTATTTGGGGTAGAAGTGAGATCCCCACCTTGTAGAGCTCAGAGGAACTGCGGCCCCGAGAACCGTCTGGTGGTGTGACCCCGGCTCTGAGTTGACAGTCACGCTTTTTAGCTCTTTGTTCCGCAATGTCTTCGTCCCGAGAATCACAGCATGACATGTATGTGTGTTGGGGTCCAGGCAATGGGAGACCAATCAGTGTCCTGGATGGCGCTGTAGCAGTCAGCATGCAGTGATCAGCGTTGGGCGGGTATCAGAGAATGGTCAGGCAGAGACTTTCCTGCTCTCCGGGTCCATCAGGACACTGGACACATTGGGTGGAATGGGCTCTGCTCTGGATTCTCCTCCTGCGGTGTGTCCGGTGATGAGTTCCTGGCTTCTCCAACCCTGCCATATATATAGAAGTCATGGCTTCTACACCAGTCCTCTGAGAGGTGGTAGTGCCCCGAGAAGGGGAGCATGGTGGAAGAAAAGGGAATTGAGGGTGCTGGGCCAACTGTCCACTTCCAGGATCAAATACCCCCATGTAGCCTCTGCAACCCCTCATTACACCCCATGTCCTCCTCCTCACCCTCTTGTGCCCCTCTCCTCCTCCCATCTTTGCCCTGTCTCCATCTCCTTCTTCACTGCCCTGTCCCCCTCTCCACCCTCCTATCCTCTTCACCATCCCTCTCCTAACTTGGCCTCTTATCATCCCTTTTCACCTCCCCTTCCTCCTCTTTACCGCCTTCTGCCCCTCTTCATTGACCTGTACCCCCTCTTCATGCACCTTGTCCCCTTCTTCACCTCCCCACCCCCCCCCTCTTCACTGCCCTGTCCCCCTCTTCATCTGCTTTTCATTCCTTATTACCCTCTTCACCTTGCCTTCCCCATCATCACCTGCCCTTCCCCCTCTTTACCGCCTTCTGCCCCTCTTCACCCCACTTCATTGACCTGTACCCCCTCTTCATCCACCTTGTCCCCTTCTTCACCTTACCACCCCCTTGTCCCCCTCTTCATCTGCTCATCATTCCTTATTACCCTTTTCACCTTGCCTTCCCCATCATCACCTCCCCTTCCCCCTCTTTACTGCCTTCTGTACCTCTTCACCCCACTTCATTGACCTGTACCCCCTCTTCATCTCACCACCCCCCCTTGTCCCCCTCTTCATCTGCTCATCATTCCTTATTACCCTCTTCACCTTGACTTCCTCATCATCAGCTGCCCTGCACCCCTCTTCATCCCCCCATCCCTCTCCTAACTGCCCCCTATCACCTCCCTTCTTCATCACCGTCTGCCCCCTTCCACTCTGCTTCATTTCCCTGTACCCCCTCTTCATTCCCTTTTTTACTGCCTTGTCCCCTTTTTTCACCTCCCATTACTGTCCTCTCCCCTTGCCCCCCTCATTGCTCCCCATCCCCTTCCTGCCCCCCTCATCACCTCCCCCTGCCCCCCCCCCCCCTTCATCCCCAATTTCTTTTATCACCTCCCCATCCCTCTGCCCTACCCCCTTATATCACCCCCTTTCATCTCTACCTCTCCCTCTTCAAATCCCCTTCCCCCTCTTCACCTTAAAATTTGTAACTAGATAATGGGACCCCCCCCCCAATGTAGGGGGTCCTCTGCCCTGACCACGGAGAATGATCTCCGGGTGTGGACTGAGCCCAGGTTTGGAGGTTCGGAGAATGGTGGGTGAGCTAAATGGGCGTTCAGTTGAGTCGAAGCTCTGGTTGCGAAATGTGACAACTTCATGTATGTGAAGCTACAAACAGGGCTGCTGGTAAGGCGGTACAGCTGGCCCTCTTGTACCGGACCCATCCGTGCAAAAGGGGCCCCCGGCTGAGCAGGGAGGGGACGGATGTTCTGCTATATGGCTCCTCAGCCCCCTACTAGAATGGATTGACTCTGTGCAGGCCAGTCAAGTTCCTCCACCCCAAACTGGCTCCTCTATGTCTTTATGGACCTTGCTTTGTGCACTGGTGCGCAGTCATGTTGGAACAGGAAGGGGCCATCCCCAAACTCTTCCCACAAAGTTGGGAGCATGAAATTGTCCAAAATGTCGCCTTATGAGTTCCCTTCACTGGAACTTGGGGGCCAAACCCAACCCCTGAGGAACACCATAATCCCCCCTCCACCAAACTTTAGCTTGGCACAATGCAGTCAGGCAAGTACCATTCTCCTGGCAACCGCCAAACCCAGACACGTCCATCAGATTGCCAGACAGAGAAGCCTGATTGGTCACTCCAGAGAACACATCTCCCCTGCTCTAGAGTCCAGTGGCGGCGTGCTTTACACCACGGCATCTGACGCTTTGCATTGCACTTGGTGATAAAAGGCTTAGATGCAGCTGCTCGGCCATGGAAACCCATTCCATGAAGCTCTCTACGCACTGTTGTTGGGCTCATCTGAAGGCCACACAAAGTTTGGAGATCTTTAACTATTGACTCTGCAGACAGTTGGTGACTTGTGCGCACTGTGCGCTTCAGCATGCGCAGACTCCACTCTGTCATGTGATGTGGCCTACCACTTGGTGACTGAGTGGCTGTTGTTCCCAGTTGCTTCCACTTTGTTATAATCCCACTAACAGTTGAGCGTGGAATATTAAGTAGCCAGGAAATGTCACGGATGGACTTATTGCACAGGTGACCACCTATCACGGGACCACGCTTGGAGTCACTGAGCTCCTGAGAGCGACCCATTCTTTCACCGTTTGTAGAAGCAGTCTGCATGCCTTGGGGCTTGATTGTATACACCTGTGTCCATGGAGGGGATTGGAACACCTGAATCACATGATGTGGAGGAGATTGGAACACCTGAATCACATAATTGGGAGGGCTGGGGGGGACAAAATACTTCTGGCAATGTAGTGTAAGTAATACTGCTGACCCCTGCGCTCTGTACACTGAGCTGTATATGTCACATTTGTCCAATGATTTTTTTAAAAACCATACCTCAAAGTGTTTGTGAAATCTCCCTCCACAAAATCCACTCAGCCAATGACAGGTAATGACATAATTTTTATTCTTCTCTTGCCATCAATGGCCAACCCGGTCCCACAATTCATCCACGTCTTTGGTGACCTCTGACCTCCTTATGAACTGTTTCTTCCATGATGAAGATCAGCCATGGAGTATATCTGAGGTGTATTCTTCCCCACATGAGAGCTGGGATATCCAGCAACATTCATATAGAAGACATTTCCCGCACTCAAGGCACTAATACACCGCCAGGGTTGTGTGGGACCCCAGGAAGACAAGACTTCAGTGAGGAACATTTCCCTCACTCAAGACAGGGATGTGGCTTCTCTCCTATGTGAGATCTCTGATGTCTGTGAAAATCAGACTTCTTTGAAAAACATTTTCCGCACTCAGGACAAGAATATGGCTTCTTACCCATGTGCCACCTTTGATGTTTGTAAAGACGGGACTTGTCTGAAAAACATTTCCCGCACTCAGGACAGGGAAATGGCTTTTCTCCCGTGTGAGATCTCTGATGTGTGACAAGTTGTGATTTTTTTTGCAAAACGTTTCTCGCACTCAGAGCAGGAAAGTGGCTTCTCCTTCTTGTGTGATCTCTGATGTCTGTTACGATTGGACTTCTCTGAAAAACATTTCCCGCACTCAGTACAGGAATACGGCTTTTCGCCCGTATGAGATCTTTGATGTGAAACAATGTCTGATTTTTGTACAAAACATTTCCCGCACTCAGAACAGGAATACAGCTTCTCACCTGTGTGCCATCTCTGATGTTTGTTAAGATGAGACTTATCTGAAAAACATTTCCCGCACTCAGGACAGCAATATGGTTTCTCACCCGTGTGAGATCTCTGATGTCTGTTAAGATGTGACTTAGCTGAAAAACATTTCCCGCACTCAGGGCAGGAATATGGCTTTTCACCTGTGTGACATCTCTTATGCATATTAAGAGTGGATTGAAAATAGAAGCTCTTCCCGCACTCAGCACAGGGAAACCTTTTACATGTTAGAAAGATGGCCCGGTCCTGCACAGTCTGAGGGTCCTCAGGATACGAGGAATCTGATGGTCCATCTACACTGGGTGCTGCCAGATGGACATTGGAGGGAGCCAGGTTTTCTCCTGGACTATACTGTGTGATGTCCTCATCTTCTACTTTCCAGTCTGGAGACAAAATGAGACAATCCTCGGAGGTTTTCCTCATCTCCCGGCCATGGACTAAAATACAAAGACAAAGAGGATTACTAGACAGGAGCTGATTGGTTCCCCCAAACCAGGACTCCGCCCACATCAGTCAGCTTGGTCTATGAGGAACTTCCAATTCCACCCTCAAGGGAACTAGGAAATGGGTCAGTGACCAATCAGTGAGCAGTATGGGTGGAGGAATGGATTTAGTGTTCCTGACCCACCTGTGCTGATCTCTGTAGGAGTGTCCTCCTCTATAAATGTCCCCGTTATTCCATCCTCCTCCATAGACTGCTGATCATCCCTCACATACGCCTCTTCTTCTTCTTCTGACTTCACCTCAACTTTTATTTCTATCAAATCTTCACCCTAAACCAAGAGGAAGAGAAAATATCATCTGTAAAATACAAACTTTAATAATGTGACATCACATAGGAAACCTACAAATTGTCTCCAGCAGTCCAAGTTTTAGATTCTCCATCCACCAACCTTGTAGTGCTGAGGAATGGTGTGACCTTCCTGTGTGGAATCCCGGGAATACAGAGGACGGGGACATCTCTCTGGGGGGTTCCTGGTATTACATGACTGCATCATATTGTCCTGGTAGGGATCATTGGGGTCTTTAGAAAACTCCTCCATCACTCCATACTCCTCATCCCTCTCTTTATACTCTTCTTTAACAACGTTATATTCTCCATGATTTTCACTCTGAATATATAATAAACATTCATTATAACACATATGCTTGTGTAAAACCAGAGACTACCTCTAATTGTTACCCATCTACCTGATGATGGTGAGGGATGGTGTGACCTTCCTGTGTGGAATCCCGGGAATACAGAGGACGGGGACATCTCTCTGGTGGGTTCACATGACTGGATCCATCTACCTGATGATGGTGAGGGATGGTGGGACCTTCCTGTGTGGAATCCCGGGAATACAGAGGACGGGGACATCTCTCTGGTGGGTTCCCATGACTGGATCCATCTGTAGGAAACACACACACTGACTGAATCCATTGTTTCTATGTGTTTATCAGATGATGGGGGATCTAGGTGGAGCCTCCGTACTGCTCTCTCCTTTCCAATAAAGTCTCCTCTTACCTGGTGATGTGAGGGGCGGCTGATTGTCCATCATGACGTCCTTGTAGAGGTCCTTGTGTCCTTCTAAATACTCCCCCAACTCCTCCATGGAGAAATAGACAGTGACACCCTGACACCTTATAGGAACCTGACACACACAATGATACAGTCACCATCCAGACACATCCCTTGTCTGTTACTGGAGAATGTCCCAGAATTCCCGGCACCGCTCACCTCTCCTGTCAGCAGCTCCATCATCTTCTTGGTGACTTCTAGAATCTTCTCCATGTTGTGTCTCTCAGGGTTTAGGGAGTCACATGGAGGCACTGTGATGGTCATATGATTACCTGACTTCAGAAGAGGAAATCTCTGTAGTGGGGAACCAATAGGAATATCATGTTAGACTCCCAGAATCCTCCTCACCTCTTCGGTCAGTTTGTGTTTTATTAATAGAGATGAGAGTGTCATATGACCTCCCAGAATCCTCCTCACCTCTCCGGTCAGCTCTGTGTTTTATTAATAAAGAGTGATGTCATGTGACCTCCCAGAATCCTTCTCTCCTCTCCGATCAGGTCTGTGTTTTATTAATAGAGATGAGAGTGATGTCATGTGACCTCCCAAAATCCTCCTCCTCACCTCTCCGGTCAGGTCTGTGTTTTATTAATAGAGATGAGAGTGATGTCATATGACCTCCCAGAATCCTCCTCACCTCTCCGGTCAGGTCTGTGTTTTATTAATAGAGATGAGAGTGATGTCATGTGGCCTCCCAGAATCCTCCTCACCTCTCCGGTCAGGTCTGCGTTTTATTAATAGAGATGAGAGTGATGATCATGTGACCTCCCAGAATCCTCCTCACATCTCCGGTCAGGTCTGCGTTTTATTAATAAAGATGAGAGTGATGTCATGTGACCTCCCAGAATCCTCCTCCCTCTCCGGTCAGGTCTGCGTTTTATTAATAGAGATGAGAGTGATGTCATGTGACCTCCCAGAATCCTCCTCACCTCTCCGTTCAGGTCTGCGTTTTATTAATAGAGATGAGAGTGATGTCATGTGACCTCCCAGAATCCTCCTCACCTTTCCGGTCAGCAGGTAGATAATCTCCAGGGTGAGGTTTAGTATCCTCTCGGTCATGTGACTTCGGTCCTCCTCCATCCTCATTGGTCATGTGATGTATGTGGGTTTCTCTGTAGACGGATAGCAGAGAATTATGTGGACTGTATCGGTTGTACAATATTAGGAGGGGGGGTCTATAGTTGGTTCACCCCCGGGGGGAATGAGAACACGTAGATTGGCTTACTTAGGGGTCTACTGATAAACATTTGAATAATCATTTGTTCAACAAATCTCCATCTACATTCTTTTATGTCAGTTGGGTGAATACAAACATTCCTCAGACCTTTTTCTTTTATTATGGCCAGTAGTGAAGTATCACAGTGGAGGACACTCGTTGGAGTTGAGGAGCTACAATGTAACAATTCAGGAGAACACTAGAGGGAATTAGAAAATAAATGTAACCAATGGGTGTGCAGCATACACACATTATGGAACAGTATTTGGAGCGCCATCTGTACACAGCCCGCCATCACTTTGCTGCGCGATAAACAGTGTGCTCTGAAAGCACCACACATCCCCCATCACCATAGAATAAATAAAAGCCAGGCTGTCCATTCATCTCCAACAGCAGAGGGACCTCATATGAGAGGCAGAGTTACTGAATGGGAGATAGCAGGGGGCGAGCAGTTGCTGCAGGGGGCGAGCAGTTGCTGCACAGAGAGATAGTAGGGGGTGAGCAGTTGCTGCATGGAAAGATAGAAGGGGGTGGGCAGTTGCTGAACGAGGAGATAGTAGCGGGCAGGCAGTTGCTGCACGGGGAGATAGAAGGGGAAGAGCAGTTGTTGCACGGGGAGGTAGTAGGGAAAGAGCAGTTGCTGCACGGGGAGGTAGTAGGGGAAATAGAAGTTGCTGCACGGGGAGGTAGTAGGGGAAGAGCAGTTGCTGCACGGGGAGGTAGTAGGGGGTGAGCAGTTGCTGCACGGGGAGGTAGTAGGGGGTGAGCAGTTGCTGCACGGGGAGGTAGTAGGGGGTGAGCAGTTGCTGCACGGGAGGAGGTAGTAGGGGGCGAACAGTTGCTGCACGGGAAGGTTGTAGGGGGCGAGCAGTTTCTGCACGGGAGGTAGCAGGGAAAGAGCAGTTTCTGCACGGGGAAGTAGCAGAGGAAGAGCAGTTGCAGCACGGGGAAGTAGTAGAGGAAGAGCAGTTGCAGCACGGGAAGGTAGTAGGGAAGAGCAGTTGCTGCACGGGGAAGGTAGTAGAGGAAGAGCAGTTGCTGCACGGGGAGGTAGCAGGGGAAGAGCAGTTGCTGCACGGGGAGGTAGCAGGGGAAGAGCAGTTGCTGCACGGGGAGGTAGCAGGGGAAGAGCAGTTGCTGCACGGGAAGGTTGTAGGGGGCGAGCAGTTTCTGCACGGGGAGGTAGTAGAGGAAGATCAGTTTCTGCACGGGGAGGTAGCAGGGGAAGAGCAGTTGCTGCACGGGGAGGTAGCAGGGGAAGAGCAGTTGCTGCACAGGGAGGTAGCAGGAGAAGAGCAGTTGCTGCACGGGGAAGTAGTAGAGGAAGAGCAGTTGCAGCATGGGAAGGTAGTAGGGGAAGAGCAGTTGCTGCACGGGGAGGTAGTAGGGGAAGAGCAGTTGCTGCACGGGGAAGTAGTAGGGGAAGAGCAGTTGCTGCACGGGGAAGTAGTAGGGGAAGAGCAGTTGCAGCACGGGAAGGTAGTAGGGGAAGAGCAGTTGCTGCACGGGGAGGTGGTAGGGGGCGAACTGTTGCTGCACGGGGAGGTGGTAGGGGGCGAACAGTTGCTGCACGGGAGGTAGTAGGGGAAGAGCAGTTGCTGCACGGGGAGGTAGTAGGGGAAGAGCAGTTGCTGCTGGGGAGGTTAGTAGGGGAAGAGCAGTTGCTGCACGGGAAGGTAGTAGGGGAAGAGCAGTTGCTGCACGGGGAGGTAGTAGGGGAAGTGCAGTTGCAGCACGGGAAGGTAGTAGGGGAAGAGCAGTTGCTGCACGGGAAGGTAGTAGGGGAAGAGCAGTTGCTGCATGGGGAGGTAGTAGGGGGCTAGCAGTATATCTCGTGCTGTATATCTCCTCCTCCTCCCCCTGCCTGTCTCCAGCCCCGCCCCCAGGGACTAGAAGGGAGGAGAGAGACCCTGCAGTATAATGAGCACCGATTGGCTGCTCTACAGGAAAGGGGCATGTCCACCTGATCCTTTATCCCTTTCACTGCCAGAGCCGTTTTTTTGCACGTTTAAAAAATCATTTTTGGCATGAACATGACACAAAACCCCCCAAACCTGAGATATTTCCTGAAAGCCGAGACCCGCGAGAATGACATCATAGCGGTAGGTCCAATTTTTTATGTCGCAGGATATTACCGCAAAATGTCAGTAAAAAATACAAGTTAATTTTAGGGCAAAAAAAAGCGCAATAAATCACCTTTTATTTGTAAAATATAAAAGATTCGGTCACAGCGAGTAAATAGATATCGAACATGTCAAACCTGAAATTTGTGCGCTCGTTAAATGGCAACGAACTTCAGTCCCTCGTATTTGCTATAGGTGACGCTTTTAAAGCCCCTTCTAGGTCACCAGTATAGTGTACGGGGGAGGTCTGCTGCTAGAATTATCGCTGTCATCATGGCGTTCGCGGCGATATGTCACATGTGTATCGCACTCCACGGTTTTATGCATAGGCGCCCCAGCGTGTGCTTGTACATTTGTACATCTGTATATGTGGGGGTGACCGCAATTTTTTGGGGGGCGGGGGGATGTGCTTTTTACTTAATTACTCCAGTGACGACGGAAGAGGACAGATGGGATGACGGAGGAAGAGGACGGGCGGGACTATGGAGGAAGAGGACGGACGTGATGGTGGAGGAAGAGGACGGACGGGACGGTGGAGGAAGAGGACGGACGGGACGGCGGAGGAAGAGGACGGATGGGATGGCGGATGAAGAGGACAGACATGACGATGACGGACGGGACGGCAGAGGACGGATGGGACAGCTGAGGAAGAGGGCGGACAGGACAGCAGAGGAAGAGGGGCAGACGTGATGGGGGGTTACTGGGTGTAAATAGAAAATCAGATCTTATTACCTCCTCTGCTGCCACTTTCAGCAATGTCTCCTCTCTACTTCCTCCCAACTCACCTCTCACCCAGAACTTGTCTGTTCCTGACATCACTTCCTGTCTGTACCTGACATCACTTCCTATCTTCCATAGACTTCTTGTCTGGGTAGAAGTGAGATCACCTCTTGTGGAGCTCAAAGGAACTGCAGCCCCAAGAACCGTCTGGTAGTGTGACCCCGGCCTTGTGCTGGGTGTGTATGGACTGTATGTCCTCATAGAGGGGTGACCTCCACTCCCACTAAGAGGGACAGAAATATAGGGACTACCTAGTCCAGCCTTTCATGAGCAATGAACAGTTTCTGCCTCCCAGTAACAGCTGACATCAATGATCTGTAAGGGGGGAGGTCTTCCCACTGATGACCATGTAAGAATGTCCTTCCCCCATTGAACACTGATATGAGGGGGTCCTTCTCCCATTGGCCACCAATGTAAGGGACCGCTACACTGACCACTGATATAAGGGGGTCCTTCTCCCATTGGCCACCAATGTAAGGGACCGCTACACTGACCACTGATATAAGGGGGTCCTTCTCCCATCGGTCACCAATGTAAGGGACCACTACACTGACCACTGATATAAGGGGGTCCATCTTTCATTGGCCCTGCCCTTTACATATTTAAGAACTGCCAAGCCAGTGGAGCAGTCAGACGGCAGGGAGCCGGTGTCGGGAGCGGAGCCTTTTTTTTTTTTTCCTGGTCGGCGGCGATGGTGGGGGGACACTGTGATTGACGTTGGATGTACTGCGTTGGACATTCTTTCATTTTTCCTTCTTTTAATAAAGGACTGGTCACAGAATGTCTTTTTTCACACTTCAGGGTTTTTTTTGTGAATAGTTAGCAGTACCATGTTTCCCATACTCAATCAAATGGGGGGCGGATCTGGGGGCCCAGATTCCGATAGGGCCCCTACCCACAGCCCAGGGTTGTGGGGAAGAGGCCATTGTCCCCATCAACATGGCGACAAGGTGCTTTGGGGGGGAGCCACCTCCGCCCCAAAGCACCCCCCCAGGTTGAAAGCATGTGGCCTAGTATGGTTCGGGGGGGGCTCTCGCTTGTCCCCCCCTTTCCTGACCTGCCAGGCTGCATGCTCAAATAAGGGTCTGGTATGGATTTTGGGGGGACCCCCACGCCATTTTTTTTCTTTTGGCGTAGGGAGTTCCCCTCAAAATCCATACCAGACCCAAAGGGCTTGGTATGGATGTAGGGGGGGGACCCCACACGGTTTTTGTTTTTTTTTTTTGGCATGGGGATTCCCCTCAAAATCCATACCGGACATGAAGGGCTTGGTATGGATGGAGGGGGGACCCCACAAATTTTTTTTTTTGGCATGGAGGTTCCCCTCAAAATCCATACTAGACACAAAGGGCTTGGTAAGGATGGAGGGGACCCCACGCAGTTTTTTTTTGGGTGGGGGTTCCCCTCAAAATCCATACCAGACATGAAGGGCTTGGTATGGATGAAGAGGGGGGGAACCCACGCCACTTTTTATATTTCTTTTGGAATGGGGGGTTCCCCTCAAAATCCATACCAGACATGAAGGGCTTGGTATGAATGAAGGGGGGACCCCACGCATTATTTTTTTTTGGCGAGGGGGTTCCCCTCAAAATCCATACCAGACACAAAGGGCTTTGTAAGGATGGAAGGGGCCCCACACTTTTTTTTTTTTTTTGGCGTGGGGGTTCCTCAAAAGCCATACCAGACCCAAAGGGTTTGGTATGGATGGAGGTGGGGGGACCCAAGACAGTTTTCTTTTTTTTTTTTCGGCATGGGGGTTCTCCTCAAAATCCATACCAGATATGAAGGGTTTGGTATGAATGAAGGGGGAACCCGACGCATTTTTTTTTTTTTTTTTAGCATGGGGGTTCCCCTCAAAATCCATACCGGACCCGAAGGGCTTGGTATTTATGAAGTGAGGGACCCCACTCATTTTTTTTTTTTTTTTTTGTTGGCATGGAGGTTCCCCTCAAAATCCATACCAGACCCGAAGGGCTTGGTATGCATGGGGGGGACCTACACCACTTTTTTTTTTCTTTTGGCATGGAGGTTCCCCTCAAAAACCATACCAGACTCAAAGGGCATGGTATGGATGGAGGGGAGGGGGGGAACCCACACCACTTTTTTATAATTTTTTAATTGCCGGCAATTTTTTTACATTCAGCTGTCGGTGGAGAATCCCACCGACGGCTGAAACAGCCAGACCTTCCCACATGTGCGGTGCGTTTTTGGAGCGTTTTTGACCGACAGCAGCTGGTTTTCACAACTAAAATACCGCGTGACTTGATTTTAGCGGTTTTTTGGGAATTTAAAAAGGTACAAATCTGCCGAATTTGAGCTACAAAAGTAAGTCGCATGCCCAGGATGTTCCGCTTGAAAAACGCTCCAAAAACAGTCATTTTTCAGGTGTTTTTGAGGCGAACCAATGTCAAAGCAGCCTCAGTGTTTGTGAAATCTCCCACCACAAAATGCACTCAGACAATGACAGGTCAGGAAGCCATCTTTATTCTTCTCCTGCCATCAATGGCCAACCCAGTCCCACACTTCAGCCACGTCTTTGGTGAACTCTGACCTCCTTATGAATGGTATCTTCCATGATGAAGATCAGCCATGGAGTATATCTGAGGTGTATATTAGGGGTGCTTCTTCCCCACATGAGAGCTGGGATGTCCAGCAACATTCATCTACAAGACATTTCCCGCACTCAAGGCACTAATACACCTCCAAGGTTGTGTGGGACCCCTGATGTACAGGAAAATGGAACTTCAGTGAGGAACATTTCCCTCACTCAAGACAGGAACGTGGCTTCTCCCTCGTGTGAGATTTCTGTGTGTTGAGAATATATTTCTGTGAAAAACATTTACCGCACTCAGGACAGGACTACGGCTTCTCCCCCCATGTGAGATCTCTGATGTTGGGAAAGATTGGACTTATCTGAAAAACATTTCCCGCACTCAGGGCAGGAATACGGCTTCCCCCCCCGTGAGTCCTTTGATGTGTGTAAAGATGGGCTTTTATTGTAAAACATTTCCTGCACTCAGGACAGGATTATGGCTTCTCACCGTTGTGCAGTCTCTGATGTGAATCCAAACGGGACTTATTTGCATAACATTTCCCACACTCAAGACAGGCATAAGGCTTTTCCCCCGTGTGCAATCTCTGATGTGCGGAAAGATGGATCTTCTGTGAAAAACATTTCCCGCACTCAAGACAGGAGTATGGCTTCTCCCCTGTGTGAGATCTCTGATGTGTGGGAAAGATAGGACTTCCGTAAAAAACATTTCCCACACTCAGGACAGGAATGAGGCTTCTCACCTGTGTGAATTTTACGATGTCTGCCAAGCTGTGCTTTTTTTGCAAAACATTTCCCGCACTCAGAACAAGGATATGGCTTCTCGCCCGTGTGAGATCGTTGATGCACAACAAAATCTTGTTTCTGTTTAAAACATTTCCCGCACTCAGAGCAGATATATGGCTTCTCTCCCCTGTGAAATCGTTGATGCACGACCAGTTCTTGTTCCTGTGCAAAACATTTCCCACACTCAGAGCAATAATATGGCTTCTCCTCTGAGTGTGATTTGTGATGTATGGAAAGGTGGTACTTCCTTGAAAAACATTTCCCACACTCAGGACAGGAATGTGGCTTCTCCCCCCTGTGAGATCTTTTATGCACATTAAGACTGGATTTAGCAGTGAACCATTTCCCGCATTCAGAACAGGAATATGGCTTCTCCCCTGTGTGAGATCTCTGATGTGTGAGAAGATATGAATTTTTTGAAAAACATTTCCCGCAGTCAGAACAGGAATATGGCTTCTCCCCAGTGTGAAATCTTTTATGCACTGTAAGACTCGATTTTAAAGTGAAACATTTTCCGCACTCAAAACAAGAAAACGGCTTCTCCCCTCTGTGAGATCTTTTATGCGTAGTAAAACCATATTTAGATTGGAAACATTTCCCACACTCAGGACAGGTATATGGCTTCTCCCCCGTGTGAGATCTTTTATGCACATTAAGATAACATTTATATTGGAAAGATTTCCCGCACTCAGAACAGCAATATGGTTTATCACCTATGTGAGATATCTGATGTCTGTTAAGATCGGACTGAGCTGAAAAACATTTCCCGCACTTAGGGCAGGAATACGGCTTTTCACCTGTGTGACATGACTTATGCATATTAAGAGTAGAGTGAAAATAGAAACGCTTCCCACACTTAGTACATGAGAACCTGTTCTCTGTGTGAATGCCGGCCAGGTCCCGCACAGTCTGAGGTTCCTCAGGATACGAGGAATCCGATGGTCTATCTACACTGGGTGGTGCCGGATGGACATTGGAGGGAGCCGGGTTTGCTCCTGGACTATACTGTGTGATGGCCTCATCTTCTACTTTCCAGTCTGGAGCCAAAGTGAGACAATCCTCGGAGGTTTTCCTCATCTCCCGGCCATGGACTAAAAATACAAAGACAAAGAGGATTACTAGACAGGAGCTGATTGGTTCCCCCAAACCAGGACTCTGCCCACATCAGGCAGCTTGGTCTCTGAAGAGATTACAATTCCACCACCAAGGTAACTAGGAAATGGGTCAGTGACCAATCAGTGAGCAGTATGGGTGGAGGAATGTATTTTGTGTTCATGACCCACCTGTGCTGATCTCTGTAGGAGTGTCCTCCTCTATAAATGTCCCCGTTATTCCATCCTCCTCCATAGACTGCTGATCATCCCTCACATACGCCTCTTCTTCTGATTTCACCTCAAATTCTATATCGATTGGATCTCCACTCTACATCAAGAGAAGGAGAGAAAATATCATCTGTAAGATAGAAGATTTATTATTGTGACATCACATAGAAAACCCGCACATTGTCTCCATGAGTCCATGTTCTAGATTCTCCGTCCCACCAACCTTGTAATGGTGAGGGATGGTGAGATCTTCCTGTGTGGAATCCCGGGAATGCAGAGGATGGGGACATCTCTCTGGTGGGTTCCCATTACTGGATCCATCTACCTAATGATGGTGAGGGATGGTGTGACCTTCCTGTGTGGAATCACAGGAATGCAGAGGATGGGAACATCTCTCTGGTGGGTTCCCATGACTGGTTCCAACTACCTGATGATGGTGAGGGATGGTGTGATCTTCCTTTTTTCCTTCTGAAAACTCCTCCATCACTCCATACTCCTCATTCTCCTCTTTATACTTTTCTTTAGGAACAATAATATCATCCCCGAGGATTCCACTCGTAATATATCATAAACAATGCATTGTAACAAACATGCTGTGAATAAATCAGAACCACCAATAATTGTCAATCAACTACCTGATGATGGTGAAGGATGGTGTGACCTTCCTGTGTGGAATCCCGGGAATACAGAGGTGGGTTCTTGTAGCTGGATGACTCCACCATGATGTCCTGGTACGGATCTTTGTGTACTTCTGGAATCTCTGACTCCTCCATCCCCCCATCCTCATCTTCATCTTTTATCTCTTCTTGACCATCAACTTTACAATCTCTAAGGTTTCCACTCTGAATATATAATAAAAATGACATCAATGGTAACAATGCAGATAATGTACAGATCCTAATGATACTATCAGTGATTGTTCCTCATCTACCTGATGATGGTGAGGGATGGTTTGAGCTTCCTGTGTGGAATCCCGGGAATCCAGAGGACGGGGACATCTCTCTGGTGGGTTCCCATGACTGGATCCATCTGTAGGAAACACACACACTGACTGAATCCATTGTTTCTATGTGTTTATCAGATGATGGGGGATCTAGGTGGATCCTCCGTACTGCTCTCTCCTTTACAATAAAGTCTCCTCTTACCCGGTGATGTGAGGGGCGGCTGATTGTCCATCATGACGTCCTTGTAGAGGTCCTTGTGTCCTTCTAAATACTCCCACTCCTCCATGGAGAAATAGACAGTGACACCCTGACACCTTATAGGAACCTGACACACACAATGATACAGTCACCATCCAGACACATCCCTTGTCTGTTACTGGAGAATGTCCCAGAATTCCCGGCACCGCTCACCTCTCCTGTCAGCAGCTCCATCATCTTCTTGGTGACTTCTAGAATCTTCTGCATGTTGTGTCTCTCAGGGTTTAGGGAGTCACATGGAGGCACTGTGATGGTCATAGGGTCACCAGGCTTCACACGAGGACATCTCTGTCATAAAACAGAAACATCATATGATATTTCCAGAATCCTCCTCACCTCTCCGGTCAGGTCTGTGTTTTATTAATAGAGATGAGAGTGATGTCATGTGACCTCCCAGAATCCTCCTCACCTCTCCAGTCAGGTCTGTGTTTTTTTAATAGAGATGAGAGTGATGTCATGTGACCTCCCAGAATCCTCCTCACCTCTCCGGTCAGGTCTGTGTTTTATTAATAGAGATGGGTGTGATGTCATGTGACCTCCCACAATCCTCCACACCTCTCCAGTCAGGTCTGTATTTTATTAATAGAGATGAGAGTGATGTCATGTGACCTCCCAGAATCCTCCTCACCTCTCCTGTCAGGTCTGTGTTTTATTAACCACTAGGGCACTGCCCGCAGTATATATACTGCTACAAGGCGGCCCCTGTGCACAGGATCACGTATATAAACGTAATTCGCATTCCCACTATTTTCACGGGCTGGGGGTGTCACGATTCGATCCTCGAGGGATCAATCTTTGGTTTCGGCCAGTGATGTCCGGCCAAAGTCGGATGATTGGTCCCTGTCCTAACCTGTCCTCTGTTGACAGTTACACAGCACAGGATATGATGTCAATCTTCTCTGCCCGGGCACGTTCCGTCCCAGAAAGAGAAGTAAATGTGAGTAAAGCAGCACACATTTCCAGTTAGAACACACCTAGGTCACATTGATCACCCCCCCCCCCCCCCTCCAGTAAACCCCTTCACTGCCCTGTCACTAGTCTCATTATTTACAGTGTACAGGTTTTTTACTGATCACTGTATTAGTGTCGCTGGAGACTTCCGATAGTGTTGGCGCCCCTCCCCAGATAGCGCCAGTTTGCCCGCTAGTACACCAGTAACCCCATTTAAAACCTTGATCGTCCCCCCCCATTTAATCCCTTCACTGCCCTGTCACCAGTGCCATTAGTACAGTGTACAGATTTTTTTGCTGATCACTGTATTAGTGTCGCTGGCGACTTAGCGTCAGTTAGCGTCCCTCCCAGATGGCGTCAGATTGTCCGCTAGTACACCAGTAATCACATTTAACCCCTTGATTGCTAGGAAGATGCTTATACACAATAAATCTCCATTGCTAGTATAGTGTCTGAACGGATCAATATCTTTGATCAGATCAACACTATACCAGCATTCACATTAGTGTAGCGCCCCCAAAAATGCAGCGTAAGCGGGATCAGCCCTGACACCTGCCAGCACCTGCGTTTAGCCCCTACACCCCCCCCTTCTCCCCCAGCAAGTGCAGTGTAAGTAGATAACTGTCACTTGATACATTTCACACAAAACCGCGGTGTTCGCAGAATCAGGCCTGATTTCTGTTAGCACTAGCAGGTACATTTGTTTGTAGCGGTTCAAGCAGTCCCTGACAGCCACGCGCTCTTTTTCCCGCGAGTCGCACTAGGTACCTGTAAATTTAGTGGCCAAAATGTCCAACCAAAGGTACTCTAGTGAAGAGGCCTACAGGATTCTGAGCATATCAGTTGAGAGCGAAGGGGAAGACTCACTGACAGAATGCGAACCTGTAGACAGCAGCGGCACCCAGACAGATCGCTCGGACGACGGAGAAGAGGTCCCTGCTAAGGTCAGGCGTACCCGACCCCATTTCCAGGTTGCTGAGATGTTACAAATGCATGATGATGCTCATATGCAGCAGAGTGCCAGTACCAGTGCCGCGCTACCTTTTGGTGAACTGGCGAGCACCAGCTGCCTAGTACATCTTGGTCTTATACATACCAGCACTGCAGTATCACTTGGTGATGTGGCAAGTCCCATAAGTGCAGTACAAGCTGGTGCGGTGGCGAGCACAAGCATTGTCCCGCAGCCACCAAGAATTCGCACACAGCCTGTAGAGCCCATAGTGTCCTTCCGGAGGTGCTTGCAAATCCCGATTGGCAGCTCACAAATTATGCAGCACCCGTACTTCCCCCATTCATTGCCCAACCCAGAATTCAGGTGGAAACAGCAAATTTAAATACTCCCCTTGATTTTATGGAGCTGTTTTTCACAGAAGATCTGAATGTATTGACTGTGGATCAAAGCAATTTATATGCACAACAGTTTATCGCCGCCAACCCAAATTCAAACCTTGCCAGAACATTCGCATGGAAACCCATTACGGTTTCCAAATTTAAAGTTTTTTTGGGCCTAACCCTCAACATGGGCATTACTAAAAAAAAGGCAATTGCTGTTGTATTGGTCCACAGACCCAATTCATCATATGCCCCGTGTTCTCTGCTGCCATGGCCAGGACTAGATATGAGAATATATGCATTTTATGCATTTCAGCAACAACACACTCAGTTGTCCTCGGGGTGACCCTGAATATGACCGGCTCCATAAAATTTGGCCCCTCGTAAATCACCTTAACCAGAAATTTGCAGCTGTCTATACTCCCCAGCAAAACATCGGCATTGAGGAGTCCCTCATTCATTGTTTTGGCTGCCTTGCATTTAAACAGTTTATCCCTAGCAAGCGTGCCAGATATGGGTCAAGGTGTATAAGAACTGTGAGAGGGCAACAGGCTATACATATAAATTTCGGATTTACGAGAAAAAAGATAGTTACGTGGAGCCCCCCGGATGCCCAGACTACATGGGGAGCAGTGGCAAGATAGTTTTGGACTTGGTGTCACTCTTTTTCCATATGGGGTACCAATTATACCTGGACAATTTTTATTCAAGCGTGCCACTATTTAGACATTTGTACAATTGGCGCATGTGGCGCCATGCGACCTAATCGTCGAGACTTCCCCCAACGGCTTGTCAATACTCATCTTAGAAAGGGGGAAAAAGCTGCTTGAGAAATGAGGAATTGCTCGCAGTGAAGTGGAAGGACAAACAGGATGTTCTCCTGTCTTCCATTCACACAGATACGGCCATCCAAATTACCACGGCAGCTGGTGTTGTTGAGAAGTCCCTCTGTGTCCACGATTATAACCTTCACATGGGAGGGGTGGACTTCAAAAACCAGATGATGAAGCCGTATTTAGTTTCCCAAAAAGCCAGACGCTGGTGCAAAAAAGTGTCAGTTTATTTCAATTGGCTATATATAATGCTTTTGTTCTTTACATAGCAACTGGACATAGTAGATCCTTCCTAAAATTCCAGGAAGAGATCATCACGGTCCTTTTGTATCCAGAAGGTGCTGTGGCCCAAACCCCCAACCCAGATGCAGTTAGCCGGCTGCATGAGAGTCATTTTCCCAATGCCATTCCTGGTACCCCAACCCAGAGGACCCCCCAAAAAAGATGTTGTGTCTGTAGCAGACATGGAATTAGGAGTGACCGCCACTTTTTTTGTCCCTCTTGTCCTGAGCAACCTGGTCTCTGCTTCAAGGACTGCTTCCGCCGCTACCATACACTAGTGGAGTATTAGTATAGGGTACAGCACGGAACAGCTCAGGGTAAATAAATACACAGGGTCTCAAAAGATGTTAGGTAGTCAGGAGACTGGCTATTGCATTTGGAGAGACCCTAAAATCTTTTTTCAAAAGTTAAAGTTTAAAAAAAAAAAAAAAAAAAAAAAGTAAAAATAAATAAAAAGGTCAAATTCCAAAAACAATTTTTTTTTATTTGCACTAACATACAATTTTAAGGACAAGCTTTCGGGCTATGTCCCCTTCTTCAAAGTCCAAGCAGTACTGTACAAATCCTAGACACCACAGTATACATCAGGGATGATATACTTCACACCTTAATATACAAGAAAAACACTGACAGATGCAACTACCTCCACAGTTCCAGCTTCCACCCCCAACACACGAAACGTGCCATCATACACAGTCAGGCCATTAGATACCACCGAATATGTTCTGACCCAAGAGACAGATAAACATCTCGGGACATTAGCAGACGCTTCCATAAGAAAGGTTACAAGGACAAAACTATCAACACCGGCATAAACACAGCTTTGAGAACACGAAGGGAAAACCTACTTCTGATCAACATGTCACAAATAATGGAAGCACACCCCGCAATAAGAAACGCTGCAAACTGTGCAACCAAATCAATCCATCAAAAAGTGTCAGACACTCAAAAGGGATCTTCAATATCTCCGGATCATACAGCTGCACCTCCAGTAATGTTGTGTACCTTCTCCAGTGCAGAAAGTGTAGCAAAGGATCTTATGTTGGCAAAACAGGACAGAAGTTGCAGACAAGAATGAATTTGCACAGACATACCATCAAGGAACATAAAGAAGATGACTTTTGCACACCTGTGGGACACCATTTCACACAACCAGGCCACACAATGGGAGACCTCAATATTTTTGTTCTTAAAGGAAATTTCAAATCCATCCAGGAAAGAAAAACTTTTGAACTAAGAATTATAATTCTATTTGACACAAGAGATAACGGCCTTAACTTGGACATGGGATTCCTCAATCATTATCCAACAGTTTTATGACTATTAGCTGAAGCTTGACTCCCTCTGTGTGAGTGTAGTATCCCCCCCCCCTCCCTCCTCGCTTTTGATGTATCTTATTTCCAGCCTTTTTTTTTTTTTTCTTCGTCTCTTCTAACATTCTGCTGAAACTTTGTGATTTGTATAGTACTGCTTGGACTTTGAATCAGGGGACATACCCAAAATTGTATGTTAGTGCAAATAAAAAAAGTATCATGGACAGTACTCAATTATTTCTGTCGCAAATGCACTAATACGGCTACAATCACCTAAAAAAAAATGAAAATTGTAAAAACCAAAAATAGTAGTAGTT